CCAAAGGATGTGGTTTTGTATAAACTGAACATCACCTCTTCATTTTTATATTCTATCAATATGTGTGCATTGTCGTTTTAGTTCACAGGTGTTGGCTTGCTGTATACTATCCCAAGTATATGTTACAGGTACTGGAACCAGGTGCAGCAGCAACGAATTTTAGATTTCGTGCTAAGAAATACTTAGCCTGACTTGGCGCTGGTGCAACATGTTTATCTGGACAGTGTTTTATATCAGTTAGCTCGAACGTTCATGCTCCTGTATTTGGCTTTATCATTGGTTTCTTATTTTGATCCAGATGTGAACTGCATCATTTAGTGCAAGCTCTAATTTCATCTAGAATTCCATCTGTGAGGTACTTGTGCCAGCAATTCTGCTACATGTTTGTATCTGAGAGGTATAAATTACACTAATAGCCCCAATAAAGGACATTTATTTAAAGAAAACATACTCTTTAAATAACATTTCAGCAGTGTCCTATGGATTCAGGGATGTGTGCTCGAGTTTTGGACTGGAAGGTAGTGGCAATGCTCTCTCGCATTTTCATGTTGCCTACCAGAATGCTCGCAGGGAGTTCCTGACATTTACCATCCGCCTAGCGAGGGCACAAACCCAGGCTGATCTTCCTTCGGGGAGTAGGTAAGTGGGATCTCTTTGGAGTTGAACTGGTTCCAAGGTGACACGTTTGGCAACAGAATGTCAAAATCGAGCCAGCCCACTGGGGTTGTCTCAGTAGTCCAGTTCCTCAGCAAGATGTTTGTTCAGTGACTAAAATGTATTGCGGAGGTGGATAAACGAAGGCGATCATAGATGGCTTATGACAGTGACTCAAAAAACAGTTGTGGTTTTATTGTACTTTAGAACAATGTGCGCAATAAAGGGAAAAATATTGTTACATATTTGCTGATGAACCCTCGTGTTCCCTGATAACTGATTCAACACCAAACGACTCACTAACATGAAAGATGAAGAGTAAGGAATTTTATTATTAAGAAATGAGCTTGTCAAAATATAGTAACTGAATTTCCTGACATTCTAATGGAACCCTTTACACTGAGGTCCTGTTAAAAACATTAATAAGAATAACAGATGTGCGTTCCCCAAGTAGTTTAGTGTGCAAACCACCAACTTTAGCAAACCCGAATACAGATCTGAAGGTTGCAGGTTCATATCAAGGCTAAACTGTGTGATTTCACCAAAGGCCTTACACAGTGACACTTCAGTTGGCCTCAGAGAAGAAACAGGGTTACCATGCCGGAAGTTGCATATAAAATAATCCTTGCGTTTGATACGGCGCCTTATCAGGTCTTCGAGACTTCTCAAATCGCTTCACAGAATATACTGCAAAATCAACTGACTACATTATAGAAGTCTACTGAAGTGATTTTGACCCCCTCTATCACTCTAAAGCAGTGGTGGCCAACCCACAGCCAATTGCATACAGTATGTGTCCCACAAACAGTCGTGGATTGAGTGACCAAATTATTATTATTTTTGAAGGGCTTGTTACCCCTGAAAAGCAATCCACCAATCGACTAACAACCGGGTTCCTACTTACTGCTTGGTAAACAGAGGCATGTGGAGTAAGGAAACTTACCTAACGTTTCACCCTGCTCGGGAATCGAACCCAGGTCTTCTTGCTTGCGAAGCAATTGCTCTAAGCATTAAGCTACAGGACTCCACATAAGGACAGGATTGTTTTGATATTCTTTAATATACTTTGATATTCCCAAGACTCATAGATGACTAATGGGATTTGAGCAAAAACACAGTAGGCTCAAAATTGCACCAAGCCTTAGACAATAAGACCACATCGTCTTACATTTCACAATCGAACAGCATTGTGGAAAACATCTTAAAATTGGTCCTAATTTGGATATTGGTTCTTTTTGGAACTTGCGAAATATCAGCTTCCAAACTAATACTGATTTTAAGCATTTTGCACAATTTAAGATAAAATGATATTTTTGGCTAAAAGTCGGGGGATTTCATATCGATGGAGCCAAACCTTAATAGAAGGGAAAAAAGGAGTTACTTGCTTTCAGATTTTGGGAGAAAAAAATAACCAGTGTTTTCCCACATATTTTCTACCGTGTCAAACCAAGGTCAGAATTAAACCTAGGGTTGGCACCAGCAGAAGCCAGATGGAGTATTGAACAATGCTCTCCCCCTCCCAGGATATTGCATTTCTTTTTACAAATTGAAAATGCCACACACTGCTGTTGTGCATGCTTTCAATGAATGTTCCAAATCATTTTGAGTAGAGCAGAGGTTGTGGGCACAATTGTGATGTGAGGTAGGAGAGATTTGATTACTTGGTTTAAATAAAAGCCAACAGGCAAAAGGAGTTCAGAGCTGTCTTTGAAATTGGACACGATATTGGCACAGGAAAGTTAACTTATTCATTTTAACCTTTTATAGAAACTGTTTTCCAGTGCAGTGCAGAGATCAGAATTGAGGCAAAACGGGAGGGAGGGTGACTTAAGCAGCAGTCTGAAGTCTAAGACACGGTCTGGACAAGGTGTTGTAAAGAAATAAAGGGTGCCAAATGTGAATAGCGAAATAAAAAAGTTAATTTTTAAAAAATGTAAAAGTATGCATGATTCACTAAATTGGAATACTTTGTTGTAGACTTGCTATCTGCCTATTTTGCTGTATTTATTTACCAAGAGAAACTATAGATCAAACAGCAGAAAGCAGAGGGAGGCATTGTGAAATATCAGTGTACAATAACACCATCAACCCACTCACAAAGTTAACACTGATATTGCTGGTTTGAGTTCTTTTACCATTTCTCATATTGTTGATGTTAATCTAAAATCCAACAGTAATAAAGGTACTTTTCACTACCTTTATTATTTTTCCGCACGTTCTTCTACCCTTTCAATTAGAATGTATTAAGAATACTACTTTTTCAAAAATTCAAATCTGGAACAATAATTGGAAAAATACAGATGCACAGTAGAAAGTGGGTAAAACAATGTGCAGACTGACATGGATGAGTGATAATGATGTGCATACCATTAACCCAGGTATTACACATGGTGCCACAGATGCCATAAATGACAGAAAATAATAATAATAATCCTTGCATTTGATATAGTGCCTTATCACATCATCGCGATGTCTCAAAGCGTTTCACAGGATATACTGTAAAGTGGATTGACAGTGTATTTTTTGAGCAAAACACGGCAGCCAGTTACTCATAGCAATATCCCACAAACAGCCGTGGAACAAGTGACCAATTTTATTTGGGGCATTGTTGTCCAGGATACCGGGAGAAACTCCCTTTTCTTTTCGAATGGCGTCCGCTTGAACAGGCAGACATGGCCTCGGTTTAACATCTCATCCGAAGGACGACGGCACCTCTGACTATGCATCACACTCCCAGCACTGCATTTGAGTGTCAGTTTAAACTATGTGATTCCAAGTCCTGAATTGGCTTTTGAACCCACTACCTTCTGACTCAGAGGCGAGAGTGGGCCCTGTTGACACAAAATCAAATTCTTTTTAGTTTTGTTTCTGGACAATTCACGAATAAGATTATATACACATCCAAGGAAATTTGAAGGATTTCCAAGGATATTCCATAGTAGAATATGAACTACTTGTTGCATCGTTTTCAATTATTTTTACCCTCCCCCCATCATCGACATAAGCCATAATGCTACACAGTCTGACAAAGTATGTTAGGGTTCCACAGCTGGTTCAAGTACGAGTTGTTCATAGAAACCAGCTGATATGATATTCAAGGACAACTGCATACAGAGGAACTGCATTGATCACACAAATGCTGGTCCTTTGTATATCAGTACTGATTGTCGGTTGGACAACAATTAAACCAAGGGACACAAGGCATTATAAGTCTCCTCTCCCCGGGCAGTGTGCTTTTGAAATTGACTGAGTAGTGCTGACCGTTTCTAACAGAGAAAGCCACAGCAAAGCTCCATCATTTCAAGACAGATCCCACCAATACAAAATATTTCTTCTCCAGTGTCCATGCCCAGTGATAGCCATGCACCTACGACTCCAGCACAAGTGTGCCCTTTATTTAGGTGGTGAGCTCGTTTTGGCTTGTTCTCTGAAAGACAACTCAGGAAGCTATTTGAGGCAGTTCAAGTCCTGACATAATTTAGGTTCCTAAGAGATGTTGAGATAGATGTTATGTAGTTTGGGAACAGTGAGGTTAGTCCTCTATTGGTGTATGGCAAAGGCAGCAAACCAGAACAGAAGGAGGTTGATTTTGCTGTGCTGAAGGTGGGTAAATCTGTGGATGAATATTAAGTAACTGAGGTTAATATTAGAGCTTGTGGTTTGGGTTAAATGCTTCAATCTGTTGTCTTGACACATGCACTTGTTCAAGTATATACAGCTGTGTCTTCACTCAAAAGCCAGAAAACCAGTAGGAGTTTGCAGGATTACTCTGGAATTCTTAAAGGAAGTAAAACCAACACTTGCTAGTAACACTGTGTTTTATTGTCAGTATGTATTGCTGAAGACTGCCTTAAGGAATGGTGAGTTGGAGCTCTTTTCTGCTACTCAAAGAGAAATGGCAAAGCTAAACGTAACCGATGATACACTTCCAAACATATGAAGGAGTTTTGCTCATGAAACAAAGCTTTGTGGGCATTGGACCAAATAGAAGAAAAAATTATAGTATTCGTAGAGATCGAAATGTATAAATCTGATGATGTTAACACAATAATGGAGTCTATCCCCTGCCGGAAGCTGGCAGATAATCGATGTTTCACAGTGTTGTACGTGCTTCTCTTGCATCTGTAAAGATGTTTAAAACTGCTTAAAAATATATATACACTGAGTATTGATATTTCTCTCAATTGGTCAGTAAGTGTCGGGTTATTTAGATTGTGTTCAGTAAGTTTTGATAAAGGAGGTTTATCAGCTTTGTGTAAAGCCTATTATTGATGTACTTATAAACTGTTTCAGCATTTCAATATGTTCAACCACAAGAAGCATGGTGCACATAAAATCTGACATAAAAATAAGTGGTCTTTATAAAGCAATATACAAAGCATTACATTTTATTCAGCTGAGCAGCACTGATGATACTTACTGTAGAATAATTATTTTCACAAGTCATTTACAATAAAAGGAAATCGCTGATTGTTCACAAGATACTTTAACACACCTTCCGTCTTGTGAAAACCAAAATACTACAGTAGCTACAAACAATCGCTTTAAAAGTACTGAAATACAAAAATTAAATGCTGTATGGAAAGCTACACATTTGTCACTAGACTCATATATTATATGATATTTAATTCAAAAAATAGTCCACAGTGCTTTCTTAAAGAATAAATGTATCGGTTTGAATGCAAGTTGTCTTATTGAAATAATGATTATTTAGAAAATGTATATAGTACTGCTTACGTGTGAAGTACCAGTACACCATGAAAATATTTAGGAAAAGGCTGTATTTACAACAGTTATTTGCACCTCTTTACACCTGTGATTAGATGATCATCAATCATACTACTTCCAATCAAATGTTTTCAGATATACGTTTGGGAACAAATTTACAAACTTCACCTTTTACATCTGTGTGACAATGGTTTGCATAGAATAGAGTCGTGCAAAATTATAAGTACATTTTATAGCAAAGCGCAAGCCCAGCTTGTTCCAGAAGTCAGTAGTATTTAGCTTGCTGTGGTTAGGATTTCAGTGATACATGTGCAGAGGTGGAACATTTTTACTGGGACTGGTGTTCTTGTTGTTTGTGCTTCATTATGATATTGCCATTGGAAGGAAATGAGATGATTTATTTTCTTTCTTTGTCTTTCTGCCTTGAATGGTTTTTCCTTTGGGATTTAAGGCAATAAACATTGGTTGACCGTGATGTGTCCACTTTGCAGAAGCGTACGTATTGTAATTATTTTCCTCTATAAGTTCTTTAAAATTGCAATCTTCATTGCAGTTTTTCTGGGAAAACAATGAAAACATAACACATAATGTTACTCTACAAGCATTTTGAATAGTCATCATCAATGATATGATTTAGAAGTCTCCTTACAATTATGTTCAACAACAGCTTGTACTTGTAACACCTTTCACTTAGGAGAATGCTGCAAAGCGATTTAAGTGGATGGTGTGGGATTCCAAGCAAGGTGGTTTAGGAGGAGGTGCAGGAAAATTGGTCAAAGCAAAGGTTAAAGAAACAGGTTTAAGAAAAGAGATTTGGAGACGGTATTGCTTCATCTTCAAATGATTTTTATTCTCCATATAACAATTTACCTTCTCCCTCTATTGACCTTGAATTGCACCAAGTGGATCCCTCAGTATCAAATAATTTATTTTGTGAAACTATCTTATACATACATTTGAAAAGTGTAATACTTTTTTTTAGACAATGACATGCTGGCAGTTTTTTTAATAATAAATATAGAATAATAATAATAATCCTTGCATTTAATATAGCGCCTTATCAAGCTTATGTCAATAAAAAAAATCTTTATAGATCATGAGGTCATTGGATGCCAATACTGTACTTCTCAAACAGCTGTTCACTACCCGTGTCTCCTATGGCCAAAATTAATTAAAGATGTCTATGTGAGGGAGAAGTGACAACTACCACATATCTGGCATATAAAGACGAAGGGATGGTCACATCATTAGTTATAGGGGTAGAAAGGCCAACTGATTTCCTGCAAGTTTTATCCTGCTTCTGGGTATACGCAATGTCATTCAAAGAATAAGAAATTTCATCGATACCTTCAGCTCATGTTAACACTATCGAGAAATAAAATGGTCCATAAGGTATTTAATAGTTCATTATTATTCTATTATTAATTGTTAAAATTCAACTTTGTCTGGAAAATGTTCACTCTACAGCTCATTTAGGGAAAACAAATTGAAAGGATTAATGTTGAGGATTGTATTTCAGTCAATAATTGTTTTTACTGGCAAGTTGAAAGATGTTCTGTGTTAAGATCAGGTCAACTGACAACTAGACATTTAGTGTTGTGTGCTAAATCAAAGAGGAGGTTTCACCTGCCAGTTACTAGGGATCAAAGAGCAATAGGAAATTGTGGTTCTGGAAAGTTTCAGTGCTCTTAATGATGGCAACTTTTTGGCCTGAATAGAAGGAAATACATTTTGATTACTCCAATTGTTCTTGGGTGTCTGTTCTGTTTAATTAGAAAAATAGTTGTAGGACTTTCAGGAAGCTCTCAAAAATATTTACTCCAATGTCAATCCATCAAAAAGATGTCTTGCCAATTCAAATGATTAGAATTATCAGCTCATTTTCAGAGAACTACAGAGCTTGAAAGTGATATGGGTACGCAGGAAGGATTTGCTGTTCAGGGTAAACTTATAAGTCTCGAGCAAATTTCTCTTTCACTTCTAGTGAATTGGACATTTGCTTGAGACCTATAAAGTAACACACTAATCTTTCTGTTTTATCTTTTATCTAACTGGGAAGTACTGCTGTCCAGTTTACAAAACTGTTTTTGTCAATCTTCCCTGGAGTATTCCTTTAATGTTACCATTGAATTCCTAAGAGTTCAGCTTCTGGCTAATAAGTAAATAGTTGCCTCATCAAAAACGCTAGGAACACTCCATACCAATGAAACATAGAAATATGTATGTAACTGATTATTAAATGCAGTAATTACCAAGTGTTGCTTATTGATACCTACATACCTTTCCGTATAATTTTCCAGCTTTATTCATTGCTAGGAAGTAATCGCTTTCTACACCTCTGATGGCGACCACTCCAACAGCCACAGTCCTGATTTCCAGAATACCTGTAAAAGATAAGAGCACCATCTGAGTTTAAGCAGTTCACATAGATCACCGTGAATCATTTGCACAAGCAAAATAGCTGTTAATCATCATTAACTTGCGGTCATTGTTTTAAATTTGTTAACTAGTTAAGGCAGGTCCTTAAAACATCTCAAATGACTTTTCACACACATGCATTGCCCATTTTTCAATGTTGCCATGAGAAAAACTGGAAATACTCGTATTTCCATGAGTTCTTAACTGGATATTGTCATTTGCTTCTGGATTGCGTATGCAACTGACACCTATATATAATACAGGCTGTCTTCTTGCAAACACGGAAAAGAATTCTCATAAACATATCTTACGATCTACAGACACCTCTGACCTGACCACGCCATATAAATTGCTGTGGGAAAATGTAGCAGTTTTAACCTAGTATAACCTGAAATCTTATGATGTGTTGCAGACATGGTGCAGGCACCCCATATACATTTTTTTTCGAACTCAAATGCTTGTATGCAATTTTATAATTGTGCCTGCAGCAAGATTAAGTGGATAAATGCTGTAATTATTGTGATTAAGTTTTGTTGTAAAACGTACAGCATTTAATTCAGCAGTAAATCAGTGGAATAATTCACCATGCGAATGTGAAGGAAATGTCCTATTTTAATGTTAAAATGTGCATTTAGCAGTAAAAATTGAGAAAACCTACTAGAATTGTTTTCCAAATATAAATCAGCAACAGATTTCTATGAATCAACAAAGCTTTGCTTCAGATGTTGAGTTTTGTAAACTGCGGGTATCTCAGTCTTGAGTTTAATTTTACACAGAAACTCTGCTGTATTTGTACTGTGTTTCACTCCTGGGAGCTTAGCTACAGGGACCGGGAAGTTTGATTTACTTTTTGAGCTCCAGATTGTTTCAAAGTAGAACTGCAAACGAAATAAACAGCAACTTTGGGGAATTTTAAGCATAGAAATTCACTGAATATCAAGTATCCATCAGCTCTTTGATAACATAGGAAAACTTTCTGTCCATTGGATTTGATCTATTGCTAAATCAGTTGTGTTTATATCTCCAGATGTTATACTCGAGCTATTGAGTACTCTGATCAGGCTGGAGTACTGCATACAGTTCTGGGCACTGTCAAATAAGAGGGAATGCATAAGCCCTAGAGACAGCAAAGAGAAGAGCAAAGAGGATGTCTCCCGGGGTTTAGAAAAATGAACGAATACCAAAAATTAGACAAGCTTAGGCTCCTCAATCTTGAGGAAAGATGACTCAGTGGTGTATAAAATGGGATTGAAAACGTAAACCCAGAGCAATACTTAAGGATGCACCAATAACAAGAGCACAAAGGTTTACGGTGGTAAAGGGCAATTTCGGGACAGATTTCAGGAATGTTTTCTTTAGCCAAAGCCATAATTAATGACTAGAACAGGGTGGTTGAGGCTAGGACACTGGACTCATTTTTTTAAAAATGAAAAGCTTCATCCTGTGACAGGAGTGATGTTAGGGTGGAGATTCTGGAGGGATGGGATCAGATGGGTTGAATCTGAATGATGATTATGAACAAACGTGACCCCTGAAATCATCTCCTCTAAGGAATGTACAGGAGCAGGGCTCTAATGCGATTCAAACTGCTCCTTGTCCATTTATACTCATGAATGAATCTGAATCGGTTAATCTGTTAAAGAATCTTGGCAGAGGAATAGAAATTCTGTGCACTTTGTTACAGATGATTTCTCCTATCTTAACATATTTTGCAATATTAAATTGGGACAATAGTCCCTGCTATACGACACAAATATTGGTATAATCTAACTAACCATTGACTAATTATTCCTGTGCCATTTGACAGAATTGAGAAACGATTCAGTTCTGTAGTCACAAGCCAGAAATATTGTTGATAACTAGATTTAACAAAGCATTGTTGCAGTTTTCAGCAAATATAGATTTGATGCCCTTGAAACTACGTATTTGTAGATGTTTGTGGGACACTGCTGGCTGCCGTGTTTCACCTACAAAATATACAGTCAGTTCACTTCACAGGGTATTCTGTGAAGCGCTTTGAGATGTCTCAATGACGAGATAAGGCGCTATATCAAATGCAAGGATTATTGAATGATTATATTTCTGGTGTTAATAAAGTGTTAACTGCAAACAGTTTAGAATTTTATTAGAGTTTTGTGATGTTCAGACACAAAGCATTTTGAGAAATGTTTGACTTAATTGTGTACAAAGCTGCCAAGATAATGCCATGGACATCTAGATCCAAATGATAGTGCAATGTTTCATTCATTATAAAATTTGCATTGACTATTCATATTCTGTTATTCGTTGTATAATCATTACATTCCTCTCAGCAATATGCTGAGCAGATTGCTCAACCCCTAACAGAGCCCCATTAAGGTTTCACAATCTAATCTAAATTAGCCTCCTATTTCAATTAACTGTGCTTCATGTTTTATAACCTTAAGACAGCGTGATTTGATTGTTGTCTATGCACTTCTCCTAGAAGACCATTAACTGAATCTTTGATGTCCTTTTCCTGCGACAACAAAACTCTCATTCTAGTTTGTGTTTTTTTTACTATCTGTGCATCTGCCCCCTCGGTTTCATTTTCCCAAACGTCAGCGTGAGAAATGGTCATGCCCCAAAATTACATGTCTTTAATTATCATAAAACCTGCACATTTTAGAAACTAGTTACTTTGGAGGTTATAATACAATAATTGAAAATACAAATAAGTGCTTAGGAATAATATTTTAAAAAGCATATTTCGTCTTTGAGACATCTCAAAGCGCTTCGCAGAATATACTGCAAAGTGAATTGACTGTACATTATAGAAGTCTACTGAAATGATTTTGACCCTCTCTATCAGTCTAAAGCAGTGGTGGCCAACCCACAGTCTGACGACCAAAAGTGGCCCTGGGGATCATCAAGAAGTGGTCGCTGAACATTTTGCACCGGTCCATGCAAGTCCGTTCCAAATCAATTCCTTGGTTCCAGTAGCTACCAAGTGGTGGTGTCTATGCCGCGGCCATGAATCGAGAAATATTCAATCAAGAACATTTGTTTGATTGGCTGACCAAAAAAAGCAACAGCGCCATGGTCTGTAGTTTCTCACATCAGTTGTAAAAGTCAGTGGGAATGAATGGGTTAATGCATTGCTTGGTAGTGCAGTTTACTACTACTCTAAACATTCGTACCAATTTGGTCTCCATATGCCTGTTGTACATGAAAAGAGTGAAGCAAATCATTTCCTTATTTACTGGCTTGTTAAACTTGTAGAATCTCAGATGTCATGGATCGTTTCCAGTCAACTAGAGGCTAGAAAATCCAAGTAAAAGTAATATAGCAACAAGGTACAGTTAAAGGTCAAGAATGAATAGAATGGGATATCTACTATCTATTTCACCAGAAATATTTCATTATTATTAGAATGATGCGAAGAAGGAAAATAAGTCCAGGGCCGGTAGAAGTATTTAAAATGGTTAAATAAGCAATTTCGCCCACAAAATGTACAGTCAATTTACTTTACAGTGTATCCTGTGAAGCGCTTTGGGACGTCTCGAAGGCGTGATAAGGCGCTGTACCAAATATAAGTATTATTATTATAATTGCAAAGTACTCAAAAAATATTTTTAGTCGACCTTTAAGAAAAGATTTCTTATTCCAGATCAATCCTTTTCATTTTGCTAATGATTTGACAGGCTTAAAATAAACTGGAAGATACTTTCCAAATATTCAAGCGTGATGTTTAATAATTCTGAGCTTTTGTATGAGTCCAAATGGTCCCAGAAATAGGGTTGATGCTATTTAAAAATCAAGGTTAAAAATGCAGAAGTCACTTTGAGCGTTTACCACTCGTAGAAGAAACAACGATAAATTGAAGGCCTGTAACAAATCAGAATCACATCTTAAAAGTTAGCTGTCCATAATTCCCATTTGTTGAAACAAAATCGATCATTATTGTCTGTTTGTGGTGTGGGAGTTTATCTATTAGTTTGATGCGAATTATTTGAAAACATCATGGAGCAGATGACAAGTTCCTTTATAATTTGTTTAAACTGTGGTTGAGGAAACATTACTGGGAAGAAGGAGCATTCCCAAAGGATGATGTCCTTTTTGAACTGTTTGAAGTGATGATAGGTGATCTTCTTCCTGATTAGAATGGATTGGTCTTTCCACTGCTCCCCTTTATGTATCCTCCTTACACTATTACATGAGAAGGATTTTGTTTAAAATCAGCTCATTTAATTTTTAATAGGTAGCAATTAACTCAAGTCAGTATTTCTCATGATATTATACACAACCAACTCATGCTGCTCTCCAGCTGTGGCTAGTGGCCATCCTACACTGCCTTGTCACAGGGATAAAGTCTAAAATTCGTGACGATTTTTCCATTTCCAAACACCATTGATTTCACGTTGGAGTCTTCGGCACAAAGATACATATTTGACTGTGCACTAACCAAATCCTGTCATTGTGGGGAAAAAAAAGAAACTTCAAGGAGTGTTGGGAGCTGGTCGAACACTAGCACAGACCCATTGGCTTGAATGGCCTGTTTCCATCTCATGTCACTCTTATCCTAACCCTAACCCTAAAAAAATCTTTTTTAAAAGAAATGTATAATAACTCATTAAAAAAAATTCGCTAGGAAAGCTGCTTTGGAAAAACCCATTCCTCCACAAAAGTAAAAGTTCTTTAGAGTCAATGCATCAAGTTGATTCCCAAAACCTGCTTAGGACTTCTTTGTTTCTTGATGTCAAACAAGCTTAATTTCCTGTCCTGTGTCATTCAGCTTTCTTTCCTCAACTGTCTTCAAGATTTATGCAAGAAAAGTTGGGATCAATTCATCGTCATTATTGGGATTTTGTTGAACTTGATTCTTTATGGCAAACTATAATATGATCTCATAACGGCCAACATTTCCCATAACACTGCTAATATCTTGGGGAGCTTTCAGAAACGCATGCCATTCATAGTGCGGAGCTTGCTCAGATGGAAAAAGGAT